CATAATAGGTGAATGTCTAATTTAAAATTTTTAAGTTCTTAGACCACATTCATTCTGTGTTAGAAACCTATGCTGTGTCAAATATTTAATCACAATCCAAATGCAAAGCTGTATCAAGCTTGAATGTTGTGTCCATACTTGCCCCAACTGTTCAAGCTGCGCCCTGCGGAGCATTTTATTACAATATACGAACGCGAATTGTCTTTTTTTTTAACAACGACTGCTGGTTCCCAACGCTTTTCTCTTTGAACATATACATTGTCATTAACGTTCAATTTTGAAAGTTCTATTGTTTTCTTTTCATAATACAGTTTCTGTTTCTCTTGTTTTTTAACAAAAGTGTTCTTTGCATTTTCCGGAACTTCGGTTCTCAGTTACTTCTTCGTTTTCGATAGTTTTGTTTTACGACGGCGACCCAGCAATAGTTGAGATGGCGACGGCATGTCACTGTCTAACGGAGTATTTCGGAAATTCAAGATACTCATATACGGATATTTTCCTTCACGTTCGGCTTTCTTTAATAGCTGTTTAACGGTTTGAACTGTCCTTTCCGCTAATCCATTGCTTTGTTGGTATTTTGGACTCGACGTAGTAAGTTTAAATTCACATGATTTCGCGAACTCTTGGAATTTTGAACTTGTATAATACCTTGCATTGTCAGATACAAGTATTTCCGAAATGCCATGTCGTGCAAATATCGACTTTATGTTCATTATGACTGTGTCACTAGCCAAATCGTTCAGCATACTCACTTCAAAGAACTGTGAATAGTAATCCACAATTAACAAATACTGTCTGTTCGGCTTTAATCATCGGCTCCTTCGCATTTGAGTTTTGAAAACGCTTGCAAATGTCATACTTTTGAACCACGTCTTCTATCTGTTTTGACATAGCGGGCCAGAAAAAACATCCCTTGCTCTGTTTTTACACCTTTCTATTCCTTAGTGTCCCTCGTGAATAATTCTCTGTAACATTTCTTTTCTTAAAGCAAACGGAACTACGATTTTTTCTCCTTTGAACACTAATCCTTGTGTTTCATGAATTTCTTCTCTGTAGTCCCAATATGGTTTGATTTTGTCGTTTATTTCGGCCTTGCTCTCGGGCCATCCGTCCTTTACGGTTTTCTTTAGTTCTGTTAATGTATCGTCACAGTCTGTTTCTTTTCGAAATTCGTCCATTTTCGACTCTAATACGGACACATGTTTTTCCAATAAATGTACTTGAGCACCTATGTCCTTGTCACATGAGTTCGTTGTCGAACTCATTTAGGTAAGCTCTTGACAAAGTGTCCGATATGTACATCAATTTTCCTGGTTTGTATACTACATTAATGTCATACTTCTGAAGTCGTAGCATAAGTTTTTGTATTCTAGGAGGCGCGTTTACTAGTGGCTTTTTGAATATTGCTTCTAGAGGTTTATGGTCCGTTTCTACCTCAATTGTCCTTCCGCATACATACTGATGAAATCTTTCACATCCGAATACGATGGCGTACAGCTCTTTTTCTATTTGTGCCCAATTTTTCTGCGATGTAGTCAGTGCCCTCGATGCATATTCAACTAGCAACTCTTTCTGTAATAGTACAGCACCTAGTCCATTTTGTGATGCATCTACGGATAACTTCACTGGTTGTACTGTTGAAATATCTTAGCACCGGAGAGTTTGTGATCAATGTTTTCAGATCTTTGAATGTTTTATCATGATTATAGTCCCATTGAAACGGTACATCCTTTTTCAGTAAATCCCTCAAAACTGCTGTGTTTGATGAAAAAATTTGGTACGAATTTGGCTATATACGTCACCATTCCAAGAAAGCGTTCAATTTCTTTTTTGCTTGTCTTTGATTTTATCTCGGTTATCGCTTTCACTTTGTTGTCATCCATTTTCAATCCTTCTCGTGTATACCTGTGACCGAAATATGTTACTTCTGAAATTCCAATTTCACATTTATCACGCCTTAGCTTCAAAATTGCGGTACGGATTCGTTCTAGAACCTCTTTTAATCTCTTGTCGTGCTCTTCTTTTGTACATCCACACACTAATATATCAAAATGATTCGACACCATTTAATCCTTCAAGAATTTTACCTACGGCTTTGTGAAACACTTCGCTAGCAGATTTTATTCCAGACGGTAATCTCAAAAACTTAAATCTTCCGAATGGTGTGTTGAACGCACATAGGTTTGAACTTTCGTCGTCCAATTTTATGTTCCAGAATACACTAGTAGCATCAAGCTTATATTTCGCTCCTGCTTGCTTAACAGTTATTTCTTCCTGTCTCGGCAATATGAAATGCTCTCTCTTTATTGCTCGATCAAGACCTTCAGGATCAAAACATATCCTCAATTTACCATATGCCTTTTCTACAATAACTATTGAACTAACCCATTCAGTAGAATGTTCCACCTTTTCCACAATGCCTAATTTTTTCCATTCTCTCTATTTCTGATTTTATAAATAATCTTTCTTGCAGAGCAAACATTACTCTTCGCGGTGGATGAATAACAGGATTGATTGATTTATCTAATTCAATATGATGATATCCTTCTAATTCACCTATTCCTTCAAATAAATCACTTTTTTCCTTCAAAATAGATTCCACACTTTTTTCAACTGACAAAACATAATTTTTCACCAGCACTTAATCCTAATATACATTGAGCATTGAAATTTACAACTGCGAATTCCATTCTTTCAATTTTATCTTAATGAGATACATTTATGTAATATTTTCCTACCACATTCATTTTTTCACCTGAATATGTGACTAATCTTGTTTTGCTTGGAATAATTTTAATATCTCCTTTCACTAATTTCAATACTTTGTACGGAATTACATTTGCTTGCGCACCCGTATCCAATTTGAACTTCTGGTTTTTTCCATTCAGATTCAATACAAAATCAAATCAACAACACACAGAATCGTCAATCTTTTTTAGTTTCCACCTTCTGCACCAACCTCCAGGACTTCTTTCTTTTGTATTTGTACCAGTTTGTTTCCTCACTAGCAATGCCTCTCATTTTTTGACATTTTTGCCTATTATGTCTGTTTGTTTTGCTCACACATTGTTGTCAAGATAATAGATTTTATGCCACTGTCATACAAGTGAGAGGTTTAGCTAGCTTTAAAACTAGGTTTAATCCATCATTTTCTTCATAAGGAAAATCCTGTACCAAGTCAGGAATATGACAGTTATTTTCCATTTGTTTGATGTGTTTGAGCCAGTTGATTTTGAATTTTCCTTGGAGTTCGGTATTTTTGTTATTTTACTTTATACAAAGAAACTCTGTTTGTGTCATTCTCAACATCACTTTGTTTTCAACGTCTGGGGGATTTTACTTTACCCGACCATACCAACAAGTTAGCAGTCAAAATATAATTGATAACGACATTTTCATTTGTTTCTTACAAAGCAAGATCAGCACGTAGTTCTTGACCTTCTGCTAAAAAAAAACCTTGCCACAAATGACAACTTCTAACCTTGGAAGTAAGACAACCGATTCTATAACAACCCGTCTAAAGCAATCTTTAGATCCCCGAAAATGTAAGTCTATCCTGGAATCCTCTACATTAAATAGTATTTTACTATAATCGGTGAATCACTCCATGGATCCCAAGCCAAGTATATCATCAACTTACGGATCAGTCATTACAACTTCAGAATGCAAATTATTTGGACTAATTGTTTACGAAAGAGAGGCGAATGATTCCAAACGGATATTCAAACTCATAAGTGGAAAACAAACCGACAATGTCATTGCAAAAAAATGACAAACAACGAAAAGACAAACAACAGTAAACGAAACACAACATAAAAAACCATAGAATGAGCAACACGAACCCCACTAAAACCTTTGGGGTGATTTCAAATGGCCCGGAAGGGTAAGAAAATCCTGCTCCACATTTGGTACCCGTGGTGTTGCTCATGTAAATACAAACTAGGTGATAAGTATATTTCGGTAGGTCGAATTCGAGGAAAAGAGGAGAGGATTGCCGTTACGACAATAGAACATATCCGTCGTTATACATGTCATATGTAACACAGATATTCCATAACGGTCGAATGGATAATTTCAACTTCACCACTTGGAACTCTATCATTATGATCAAGGAAATCATTATAGGAAATGCAAGCTCTAGAATGGCGTATCAACTCGTAGATATATACTCGATTTGCAGCGGCTGTCGGAATGTTGCACACTTAACTGTATCTGTTATATCCTTTATTTCAAGTTCGATGGGATAAATGAGTTCAACAGTCTCCAAACCGTGATTATTTATAGAGAAGACATCACCTATATATCGAAGATTGAAGTTAAAGGACAATACTAGCTTCTTTTTTTCTTCAGTAATTAGAAGCTCCTGTATGAAGTCAGCCTTGTATGAATAAAGAAACAAGTCGGCAAAAATAGCTAATTTCGTACCCATGGGAATGCCGATAGTGTGTTGCAAAACACTTCCTCCAAACGTAACAAATATGTTGTCAATCAAGAAATCAAGCATCTTGATAATGTCATTTTTAGAGAATTTTTTGTTTGAATCAGAGTGATTTTTTCCAAAGTACGATTTATCCCTCTTACGTGTTTTTGATGCAATCAAGAACAAGCACCAACATTATCCTTTGTTGCACTACGATGCAATTCCATATTAGAGACTTCAATCCCTAATGATCACGTATCGTACGTATCATAGCCATTGTCTTGGTAGACTTAATTAAGACGAATGACTCTGAAACACAATTCTCGTCGACTGATAAACGACTCTAAGGGGCATATCTTTATTGTAAAAGGAATGTTCCCTAACATTCCGCATTGCTCATCGAAGAATTTCTCTTCGAACACCCCTTTAAAGTTTACCTGGCTTGATTTTACCCGTTAAATATGTTGTTCATTTGTATGTTCTATCGTAGTATTATCAAAACGTACAATAAGGTTGCTATAAAACTGTCACTATTGTAAACTATCTAACCTTAAATTTAGTAAATATAACAAAATTAAAGTTTGTTTAATGTTCACATCTTTAATATGCATACGTCTTTATATAACTTGTACAATATACTATGAAAGTTCGCAAATATATTCTCTTTGATACTAAAACAGACCAGTCTTAATCATTCTATGAACATTATGTTGTCTATTTTACACCAAACTTTATGATATTGATAATTTTGATAAACTTACATCTTTTATCAAACTCAACATTGCATGTACCATATAAAATGTAAACATTAATTAAGATGAAAGATCATTAAACTGATTTGAGTATTGAACATAAAATTTTGATGTCATTGACCACGCCACATCATTCACAGATTTGTTTCGAATTATAAGAAAAAAGTAATTACATAAGTATATCAAATGAGGAGGCATTATGAATATTGAAAAGAGTAAGCTATTCTTTTGTAACTTATACTACACTAAACACTAGACTAATTACCAAAGAAATCACATAGCTATGCTATATAATTAAAAAATTTTGTCATGATAATTTTGGGAAAACTTGCACAAAGATTACTCTTCACAAATCTAAATTGACAATTTCCAACGATTGATATTTTGAACAACAAATAGAGGCATCATAAAAAAAAATCTTAAAAACATACAAAATCAATTATAGCAGTACAATACAAAAGTTTGACAATTATTAGATATGTTTCGTTACATATAATAAGGTTTATTCTGAATTGGAGCGTTCAAATCAGTGTAAACTAAATAATCAAATTATCAAAAGCGTCATGTAAAATCATCTGATCATTATCCCTGGGCAATCGAAATAATCAATAAATAAAGTGAATCAGCATGAATTTCGTACTACTCAGGGACCTTGTAACCTTTGAATGCCCAACACTGCCAATCTTTTGCATCGAGTACCTATGCAGGTACATTTATTAGCTTTTGTTCTTAACTTCATAGAACATCCCCACATTTTGAATGGCTAGAGATTGAAACGAAGTTAAGCAACATGAGCGAATACACAAAATCGGATTTAGTATGAAGACTACAATTTAAATTCATTAAATAAAGATTTAAAAGAAAAACCAAGAACTAAAATGAAAATTCAGGAAACGCCATTAACAATTCTTTTTTTGATGTTGGAATTTTGAGATGCAATTTTGACATTCTGGTATCTAGTCCTTTAGATGTACCCACGACTTTTGTGTCGCATTTTATCTAAACATATTAACTCTATGTCCACTTATTTAGTTTTTTTTTAAATCCTGTTCAAGGACTTTGTAGACTTAAACATAGAGTAGAACCTTAGATATACAAATAAACAGTGTCATCAGCATAAAAGTTTGCACTTCACGGTTACAGTTAGTGTTGCTCTTTGTGCTCCCTAGAAATTTTAAAGAGCTACTTCTTTTAATGTCTTCCAAAGATTGAATTTAATACCACCATGCAGTGTTGTTCACATCAATTTCTGGCAAATGCATATCCAGAAATGATGAATTAAAGCGATCGACACACAGATTCCCAAATACTGTATGTCACGTACATTATAGCGTCTAGTCAAACTATTGCATAATAAATTGCCATCAAACGCCAGGCTAGTTATCTGCTAATGGATGCACGAATTGATCCTTCCTTCCGAACACGCCATTTTTTTGATAATTCTTCCAAATTGTGCATGCATCATACCTCCGTTATACACCAGAAACTCGGAAGTGGATGGAAAGAATATTGTTTTAACTGTTTAAATGATCATATAATTGATTGATCATTATTATGTGTCCGGAATCCTATACTTCATAATAAATATATGCCGGGTCTGATATAACATTTACCCGACAACATAGGGATCAAACTATCACATTTACTCGTATTAATTAACTACTGTTGTCAAAACTAAAGTTTGTTTAATGTTCACATCTTTAATATTCATACATATTCGTTTAACAGGCATAATTGACAATGTGTGTTCACAAATATAATCTCTAGATAAAATCACCTGTGTACAATTCGATATTCTTAACAAAAACTTGTAGATTATAAAGGTTTAAATCTATGCTAATTTGGTTTCTATTTCATTCCAAACCCTGTTTTGTGGTAACGGAATATTATTATAAATTCATCACTTTTATTGCAAGTTTACAGAGCATCCGATGTACTATATAAGATGTCAAAATTCATTAAAGATGAAAGATTAAACTGATGAAATCTTTGTATTAACCATCAAATCTGTCATGTAATTGACCACGCCACACTATATTACTAAGATGAAATATCATAGAGGTAAATCATTTAAGAGTTATGAAAACTTTTGTTAAGGAAAATACTTTCTTATCGATTATCTGAAGTTACAAATATTTTCAAATTTGTTTGATGACATATAACGAAAACAAAATGGAACTAAATTTATCACGGCATTAAAAAAAAACCTTTGATATATGTTTGGAAAAGTATTAGAAACACTTTATAATATTGCTTTTACATTTACAAAATTCCAAAAAAAATAGATGTGGTTTGCCAATGAGACAACTATCCACCTCAAATGACATTGATATAAATATCTATAGGTCAACATCCAGCCTTCAGAATTAGAAAAACCAATACCGTATAGAGTACACGTCAATGACATTTCATTACCACCAAGAAGAAATACTCTATATCCATATATGATAAAGGAAATTCAGCTTATATGAACATTAAATGTATGAAATTTGCTATGATCATGTATTCTTTGATTTTTTGTATGTATATTCTTCACAGTTTTAATTTACCACAAGTTTATGTTTTTGTAACTTTATTTTTTTGTTTTATTCGTACATCTTCATTTATTGAATTGTTTAAAGTTCAAGGAAACAGATCTTACTACATGTTAGTTTAACATTTTTTTCTCCGTTATGAAATATCTGTTTTACAGATGACGACAGATATGTTCCAATTGTAGTAACCACAATCCATCCCTGTTCATTAAGTTGAACACGAATCAAGTTTGAAGGCCAAAATCAAAAACGGAATCAAAGGCATCTCAAAACAAAAACAAAGCAAAATAGTTGTGCCGAATATTGTTCAGGACATACATAAAACAGGCTATACTGAAATATAGCAGTTTACCTTATTACGACATGCATTGCTTCACCGCTAGAAATTACACTGCTTACTTCATACATTTTTACAACATCTCGCAATTTTGTTTTAGGTTTTTAGGCAGACATCACTAACACTTAACTGGAATTAACGAATTGAGAATGTATGATAAGATTTATTATATCATGTATATGGTCCAATAGAATTTCCTATTTAAAAAAAAAATAAAAAAACAAATTTATTAAAAAAGATACGCAAATCATATCAACCCGATTATAAATGACATTTATTCCCAAATACCTTACTAGTTTTTTAAAGTTGGTTTTGTTTATAGCAATATATAAAGGGAAAATATTCAAAAACGCAAAAAAATGTACTACTGAAATCTGACAATGAAGTTAAAAGTTACGATACAAATGATATTTAATTAGAACATATATAAATGAAATGTATTATACATACGAAATCACCCAACTTACGAAATAAAGGAGTATTTTACCGAATACGCATTAAACGTATATTTCTGCCATGATTGCCACAATAAGTGCCGACCATCCAGAAAAAGGGTGACAACCCTCTCCTTCTCCAGTTTTATCGTTGTATTTCTCATATAAGTAACCTTGTCTGTAATATTCCTTCATAACATTTGTTACTAAATTATTCCTGAGGCTTTTGTAAATTTTTGCTGCTTCTGTCTGATATTTTCCTGGTGTATTCGAATAATAGTTGAGTCCACTTAAAACTAGATAATTCATATTAATCCAAATTGACCCTCGCCAGGACGGATTATCAGTTTTTGAGTTCTTCTTTAGGTAAAATGGAGATGTTGTTGCAAGAGACCGCAATCCATAGCATGTCCATAGTAATTGCGGATTCAATAAATCTTTAAGAACCCTTTGAAGCTTTGGGGAATTTGGATCAATTATTTTTAGCATCAATGGAAACAAACTCACATATCCGAATGAATTATCGATGAATCGTAGTCTGGGTTCAGTCATGAGAATACGTTTTTCTTCAATATTATTATACAAAGCTAAATCATCTGTATGAAAACCATAATCACTATAGATTTCTTTTTTAGGTGACCAGTGGAAATAATCAAGAATTTCATTATTCATCAACAGCTGATACGTATCATCGTACTCATGCCATTCGTTGTTGGTTTTCTTAGCTATGTCAGACAACACCCCAGATGCTATAGCTATCCAACATCTAAGGTCCAAATGGCGTTCAACAGACGATGGATGGGACGCCCGAGGATAATCATCTAAACCGGATGATGAAGTTTTTGGAATTAACTCAATTTCTGCTCCATAGTTTCTGCCTCTCCAGTAGAAAGTAGTTGGTATCTCACCAACCTGGCTGGTATTCAACCAGTTGAACCACACCTTCAATCTTGGAAAAATCTTTTTCAAAAAAGTAGTATTGGTCAAATCCCTTGCAATAAGATTTTGAAGTGTAAGAAAAAATGTTGGAGGATTAGCAATGCCATTTTCCTGTACAACAAATTTTTCCGGGACTTTAGCTCTAGCCTCATGTCCTAAAATTTGTTCCCTTGGAAACCAACCTTCAATGTTCAACAAATCTAACCAATACGCAATTATTTCTTCAGAAATTTTGGAATTCCAAAGGCTGATAAGAAGATTATCAAAGCCAACATTCCATAGAAAGCCTCTTGGGAAAATTGACCTTGATGGAATTGAGGTATATAGAGGAGCAGACCAATAATCAATAGGTTCCTTGTTGAACACTGATTTAACACGAGATGAGCCATAAAAGTAGCTTATTTCTCCAAGTAAATTACTTAAACCAGCTTTTGCAAACTCAATTGAACGTGTATTGAATCCCTTTGTTTCAAGTTGAAATATTGATGAAAAACGCTCATCGAATGAGTGTGAATATCCTTCTAATGCTCGTGTGAAGATATTGTCTGTAAGACAGTCCTGTCTTTGATGAAAACTCTTTGATTCGAATACTATGTCAAATTCGACAGGAAGCTCTGCTGTTACCTGGTAAACAACGAAGTTTGGTGAATTTTGCCATTTTTTTGATAAAGATTTAAAAAAGTGAGTATTGGTCCAAAAATGGTGAGTTATCTCCGTCTTTATTAATGAGTCGAGTTGAGTAAAATTTGCACTGTTTGTAACGATGTGAGAAAATTTCACTTTTTTTGTCAATTTAGTCTTTGGAAACTTTAGTACAAAATGACCTAAATCTCTGGTTGATCCCTTTATGTAATCAATGCGGTCTTCGTCGTTTAAAACAGGTAAAAGGTTTCCTTCACCTTCAACAGCCAAGTACACAAGAAAGGATACTATCGTTTTATGTTTGTTGTCCTGCAAGTAATCAAAAATATGAATCAATATAACATAGAACTTGCTTAAACATGTTAAATATCGTATAATAAAAATGCTAGTCAGCATTATGAATAGTCATAAGTATGATAAAATAAAAATTTGCAATTTAGATACTATGATGGTAAAAAAAAAGTGCAGTTGATGAAATGGAATATCATTTAATTCATTTTCAAGTCTTGATTTTGAAACTCGTGACTATCAAAGTTGCATCTACTGACAAAATATTTGTATTCCTCATCTCAGATATGGACTTTAACGCAGCCTTTCACCTCATTTTCTCATCAATGAATTTTATGTCAAGATGACTTATTTTTTAGGATCCTCCTGACTATAAAAGATGCATCTGCTGACAAAATATTATTTCTCCACGAGTTGTATCTCAGATATGGACTCTAAGGCAAACTTAAATCAGTCACTCATATATGAAATGTAGGTCAAGATGACCTTATTTTTATCAGGACCCCTTGGTTATTCAATACGCATCTATGAAAAAAATCTCATGATCTATGACTTATACTTCCACAGATAGATGGACTTTAACTTTGTGACGGACAGATGAAACACTATCTCCCTTCCCCAACTTCGTTTGACAAAAGATATAAAAATCTTAAACCAAACAAAGGTCCAATTATTCCTCTCAGTAAAGGTTGAGAAATCCTCGACAAAATGTTGTCATTTCTAAACGGTTTTGGTGAAATTTTAAAGTATCAACAAACAGACATAACAATATGGATGTAGCTTTGTATGATATTTAACAATGAATTCTGCTCAAACCGATACGAAGGGTCAACTGGAACTTATTACCAGTTATGAGGAATATTGCTCATTGTTGAAAGCCTCATGGTGACTTGAAGATGAATGACAACAATAAAAACGTTCAATTTTTGGGTTTAACCATGTATTGATATTAATATTGTCTCATGTACGTTTACCCCATATCCCTTCATATTTTCATTGGTTATACGACAAAATAAAAAACTGCTTACATACTACAACTAAAAATCAGAAAGCTTCAGACAGTATAGCAAATTATTCTCTTCGTAACAGCTGAGAAGTCCTTGACAAAATGTTTTCATTTCTGTTGGGTTGCAGTAAAATTGCAAAGTATTAACGTAAAATTGCAAAGTATTAACAAACACCAAGTGGATATTTGAGAGGCTTGAAAATCACTTTCAGTTACTGAAGTTAAAAATCCTTTTTGCGTGAACCCCCTGTACATATTGGTGAGTTTTGGAAGTGTCTATGGGTCATTCAAAATCCTCAGAATCAAGATTCTCGGAACGTCTTGAAAATTTTCGATCATTTATACAGGTAGTTATCTATGTCTTTGATACGGTCCCTTTGTGGATAGGCTACCACGTGACATATTTCAACAATCAAAGATTGGAAAGTAAAACAATAAAGACTATGTTGCAGTAAATAAATCAATTATATGTTTAGAACCTATTTGCCTTTCGACAAAACATGTGTTTTAATAATGTGAATGTTTATTAAATATCAAGTATAATGAAAACGAAATTATATACTACATGTTTTGAAATGGTCCCTGTACGCGTTGTGTGTGTAGTATTTAATATAGCGTCACGTTGTGCATTGTGGTTATAAACCTGGGAATAGTTTATTGATATATAATGTCCCAGAATAAACTGATTATTTCTGAACGTTTATCATTTGATATTTTGTATCTCAATCATAGCATGGGAAAATGTCGGAAGGCATGATGAAAATTAAGAAAACGATATTTCTGTTAAAAATATTTATCTTAGGTCGGAAACACAGTGGTCGGAAAGCAGAAAGATAATCAAACAAAAGGATTTTTCCTGCTAAAATATCTATGTTTCATTAATAGATACTACCAGATTAAGAGAATATTCTGATTAAGTTTAAACTGAGACTGAATTTATTCTTAATAGAATACTAGTATGATTAAAATAGTCATATATACGTGCATTATGTCTCACAGGTTTGAACAGTCATTACATTTATGAAAATTATATGCAACATATGAGCACCAATGAGCAGGGATGCGTACCCAAAGGTAGCTAAATATTAAAATTCTAAACAGTCGTGAATGAAAAAATATGAAGATATGATAGATAAAATAAATTATCCAGTTTATAAAGCAAACTACATGAGTGCTTAAATTTATATTGCGATTGGTTTGTGCAATTTGCATTAGACATCCGGTTTGTAGAAACTGGGATTTGCAAAAGAGTTATGAAAAAATGATGTACACTCCCAAGTAATAAATAAAATAGTCGAGCCTTAAAATGTATATTCAAATAGTAGCTGTACAACTATCCAACATTGCTTTCAAATGACTTGTGCAAAAATCTACACACAATTACATATTTTCAATAAAGGTGTTTTAACATCATCATAATCTTATTCTATTCACAGTCAATTATTTCAATTCAAAAGCAAACAATTTTCAGCAACAATGTTTTGGTGACCAGTCAGCAGTCTTGGGTTCACGTATTGTTTTTCTTCTTTTTTTTTTTTTGAAGGAAAGCAACTTGTATCTGTGCGATGCTTCTGGATTGGGCTGATGATAATCTCCGAGAAAAACGAATAGCTTGAACTTTGACATTTCTGTGTCTTTGTGAAAAAACCGAGAAACATTGTAATCGTTTACGTTGAAAGTAAAGATATCTTTATTATGATTATTTTTCATAGTGATGAAAACTGTATATATAATAATCAAAAAAGAATATAAAATAACTATTTTGAGAAAAAAAACCCCAACTATAAATCATTTCCCATGTTCCAACGACGAGTTGTTGTAAGATTATGGTAGATCTCTACCTTGTTTACATTTCTAAAAATAACCCGGTTTGGGAATTTACGCAAATATGAGTCACCATTTCGTGCATAAAAAAAACAATGAACATTCATTGTTATAAATATGTTTAAAGTTTTCTTTGGCATCTTCTTCTTTTATAAAAATTAATAAAAATGTAATTATTTCAATTACCTAAAATCTTTAATTTTGCATATACAGAAAATAATATATATAGCTCCGCAGATAATCATGTAACAATCTCAAACCCACATCATATGATGGACCGGCTTAGTGCCGGCCCATAATCAGGCAACGAAAAGCATAGTTATGTGACCAGAGAGAAAAAAGTGGTAGAATTTTCAATTCAGGCCATCTTTATAAATTTTTTTGAATTAGAAAACAGTCTGGTTTCTCATGGCGGGTGATGCATGCAAAACTGGACACGCTTCTCGTGTAACTTGAGAATCATGAATAGTAGGAAATGCTTAAACCTGTAAACGTATCTATTTTCTGGCAGTTTAAATTAATGGTATTCTAACATTATTACGTCGATTTCTGTTTATAAGCAGGACTTATGTAATAATTATTAAGTTGGTATATACAGAATAAAGATATAAGGCTTATAATTTATTTTTGGCTAGGCTTGCGTTTGGTCTACTTAAGACTCGTCAATGATGCTCGAATACAAAAGCTAAAAGGTTTATCATATTTTTCGATCGTTCAAGAATCATATTAAGGCAATATTTGACAACCAAACATATTGTAAAACTAGCTTCTGAAATTCATTCATATGTTGTACTACAATATTTAAAAAATGATTACAACACAATTTTATTGCAGCAAAATTTCTTCTGTTTCGATTGATATCTGTTACGGATAGTACATACTAGTACGAGATGTTCGCGCTACCGCTCTACATGTATACGGCGTCACCACAGTTGTGACGTTACCTACTTCAGAGTTCCAATACAAGTATCATTGCAATCAGACGTTTTTTATTACTCAGACTTAATTTGTGTTCGATACAACAACTCTGCGATGTTGGTACCGAAGCCAGGATGAATTTGAAGCTGCGTTCGATAAGAGCAGGTCATAGAAGTGCAGTTTCAGACTGATAAAGAAACTTGAAGACATTCAACAGGAGGGAAATGGAACCAAAGACACGTACGATTTGTCAAACATACAGGATAGGCTGAAACGGAAGCAGGAAATATTAAAAAAATCCGCATGATTTCAAAAATTTCTATATCCGTCTTGGATTTTTCTAAGTTTAGTGAAAAAATTATTTTTATTCAAACATTTCAAGATTAACTCCGTCATATGCATTGACGATATAACTGTAATATTTGCCACTGAACATATAACAAGAACAATGCATGATTTCGATTGTGATACGCGTTTCTGACGAAAATTGATATAAAACGCCCCCAATATAAAACAGAAGCCTTATTTTAAAATCACGTGACATCAAATCCTACAATTTCATTGGTCGAGAGCACTTTGCTATATTCTAATTGTATCATAAGTGTTTGTAAAACGGAGTTCATTAACTAAGTTTTATGTTTTGTAAATCTACTCACTAGTATCATAATAAAATATGTGATTTCAAAAGGCACTTGACTCCAGAATAAAAAGATGGTAGCTGCTGGTGTAAGTATGTATATTGATATAAAGCGGTGTTTTACTACATGTAATTCTTAACAGGGTAAGATGACAAAATAAATCGACCAAAAGCAGGCATATATAATTAAATTACAGTGGAAGCTTTACATGTTTTGAAAACATTTCTCAATTTCACAGTAAAATTAAAGCTATAACAAAGTTGAAACATATAGATATATGTGCCCATAGATAGTCTACGAATATTTTTTTTTATTTCAAAGTAAAAACTAAAAGATTTATCAGAATATATATATTGGTGGCACATTCCCTTCAGACATTAGATCACGGTTTTTCAGTTCATGATGAAATAGATCAATTTCCTTAAGAAAGTTAAATAGAAATCATCACTGACCAAGTTGCTTTGATTTCCCTTCACAAGGTTTTATAGTACACACTTGTTTTTGTACAAAGTAATTGCATAGATGATAAATTACCACAATTATAAGATAGCGTTGTACTCTAATCAAGGTATTAAGGACCATATCTGTTATATATGTACCCGGGTATATGTAACACTTAGAAACGTGTCCATCCC